TCGCGCGGCGGCCAGTGGGCTGATTCCCTGGCGAAGGATCGCGAGGCCTCTCGCCCGCTGGGGCCTGGGCGCGCGCTTGGGGCAGCTGCGTGCGCCGACAACTTCATGGTGATGGGCTCGCCCATGCAGGACGTCTGCGCCGCAGGTCAGGCTGCTGCGGAGGCTCTTTCCAGCCAGGGCTTCACGATCCATGAGGAGACCGACGGGGCGGTGGACCAGGCCGACTTCGTGGGCCTCGCGTTTGACGGGCGCGGGCGCACCGTTCGGGTCTCCACCGAGCGCATCTGAAGGTTGAGGCTGGCCATCGAAGAGCTTTTGGGCCGCCGCACCTGCTCGGGGCACGTTTTCGAGATCGTGGTAGGGCATGCGACTTGGATTATGATGGTTCAGCGGTCCTCCCTGTCGGCGTTCAGCTCGGTGTATGCGCACATGAGTGCCATGGGCACAAAGGAAGGCGAGCTGTGGCCGGCAGTGAAGGAGGAGCTCCGGCATGTCAGGAGCTTGCTGCCGCTTATGGTGGCCCACGCGAACGCCGACTGGCACGGCAAGGTGACCGCCAGCGACGCGTCTCACTGGGGCTGCGGGGTCTGCGAGCGGGTGGCGAACTTGGACGAGATCGCGCGCTGGGGGCGGACGGCCGAGCGCCGGCGGCACCGCCAGGGCGCTACGGCTGCGCGAGCCCACGCCTTGGGGGGCGAGGAGGCGGACGCCGAGCTGGAGCAGTTGCTGGCGCTAGACGACCTGCCGGACAGCCTGCGCCAGGCCGATGAGCACGCGAGGGCCTTCGACATGGTCGACGCGAGCTTCACGGACCCAGAGGTGTGGCATATCGTCGAGTCGTTCCCCTGGCGGGGCCCAGCGAACACACTGAGGTTGGAGGGTCTCGCTTTGTCCAACGCCCTTCGGCATCTCCTTCGAGATCAGAAAGCCTTCGGACATCGCGTGCTTCTCCTGGGGCTGGCCCTTGCGGCCGGAAAGGGCCGATCCTCGGATTTCAGGGGCATCCTTCGGGAGATCAGCGCCCTCGCCCTGGCTCGCCGCCTCCACGCGCGTGTCCGCTGGGCCCCGTCCGCGAGGAACCCGGCGGATAACCCTTCGCGAGGCCTGTACTTTCTCAAGCCGCAGCTGGAGGAGGAGGGTGCCAAGCTGGAGTCTGCTTCTGCTGGTGATGAGCGCGGGGGGCTGCCAGCCGTGCCAGAGTTCCCGAGCTTCGGCGCAGGCCAGGAGCAGTCGGTCGCGCACGCGAAGCAGGACGGAGCTGGAGGCCCCTCAAGACGACTGGATGAAGATGATTGGCATCATGTCGACTGCGGCGGCGGCCGCCAGGAGGACCTGGTGCCACGCGCCATCGCCCGAGTCGACGCCCCTCCCGGGTTCGTGCCCGCCGTCCTTCCTGGAGTCGAGGTCAGTGGCGAAGGCGACCTTCGCGGACTACCAGAGGAGAGCCAAGGCCCTTCTGGGATGGGCACTGCAGGCAGGGTTGAGCTGGACCTCAGTCGAGGAGCTCGACCTGGCGCTGGTTCTGTACATGGACAGGCCATTATTCCTGGGGTGCGCTGGGGACGTGGCCAGCAAGACCTTTGCTGCGGTCAAGTTCTATTACCCGGAGGTCGGCAGGTACGGTCCACAGGGCTTGCCGAGGGCGACCAGGGCGCTGGCTGGCTGGGCCAAGGTTGTTCCGCGGGCAACGCGGGCGCCTGTGCCGTGGCTCCTGGCGGCGGCGCTGGCGGGGCACCTCTTGTCGCGGGGCTTGCTGGAGCACGCTGTCGCGCTGCTGCTGGCGTTCAACGCTTACCTCCGCCCAGGCGAGCTGGACGCGCTTGACGCCCATGCAGGCGCAGGGTTCGGGCAGCAGCACTGGGCGCTGCTGCTAGGACCGAGCGAGCTGGGAGCTCCGACAAAGGTGGGCGCCTTCGACGAGAGCGTGGTGCTGGACGGGGTCGGGTATCTCTACGAGTGCCTCTCGGTGCTGAAGCGGCGCAGGCAGCGCGTGACAGACAGGCTGTGGAGCTTTGCACGCAACGACCTGTCGATGGAGACGCAGGTGTCAGCGGAGGCTCTGGGCCTGGGCCAGATGGGGTTGACCGTCTACGGCCTGCGGCGCGGCGGAGGCTCTCACGACCTGTTGACGAAGGCGCGCTCGGCTCTAGAGGTCAAGTCCAGGGGAAGGTGGCACTCAGATGCGATGCTGAAAAGGCACGGCAAGGAGGCAAGAGCGTTGGCAGAGCTGCACGGGGCCCCAGCCCAGACGCTCGAGTTCGGGCGGCGCGTCGCCGCCAGGCTGGAGGCGATCTTCCTCAAACGCGAGGGCCTGCCTCCGCTGCCGGCGCTTCCCATGGGACCTCGCTCAGCGACGCCGAAGTCAGGGTGGGGATGCGGCGAGTGCTGAGAAAGGCGCTTGCCTCTGCTCGGGCCTCTAGGAAGCAAGTTTTTCTGGAACTTTACTTTGGCCAGGGGGGCGTTTCCAAGGCGATGCGAAACCTCGGTTTTGGGGTCGTGTCGGTCGACATTTTAAAGCCCACCTGGTTCAATCTGGATAGGCTTTGCATTCAGAAGATGGTGCGGGGGTGGATTACGGGGGGCGTCGTCGTCGGTCTCTGGATGGGGACTCCTTGCTGCTCCTGGTCCCAGGCTAGGCATGGGCCCCCAAACAGTAGTTGGTGCCGTCTCAGAAGCCCTTCTCATTTGTGGGGTTTACCTAACCTCAGTCAGCGTGCTCGCTTAGCCTGTGAGAAGGGCAATTATCAGCTCAAGTTCTGTCTATCCTTGATTCGTGCCTGCCGTAGCAACCATGTTCCAGTGGCTTTGGAGAATCCCAGTAGCAGTTATATTTGGCAAACTGCTCAGCTTGCCCGCCTTTCAAGGCGGCCAGATAGCCATCAGTGTGTTGTGGATTTTTGCGCCCTCGGAGCCCGCCGGCGGAAGCGCACCCGCGTTCAGGTCTGGAGTTCAAGTTGTCGGATTTCCCTCCCAGGGCCCTGTCGCGGGCGTTCGGGCCAGTGCAGTTTTACAGGCAAACGCCACATCATCTTTTCTGGCCGTGACCCAAACTCGGGCAAACTCTGGACCAGTGCTGCTGAACCTTACCCTGGTCGTTTTTGTTTCCTGTTTGCCCGGGCGTTGGAGCAGGCAATCCAGTCACTTAAGTTGAGCCGACTCCGACAAATAGTTAGTTGCGGCTAATGCCAGAATCCCATTCGGGGTGACTTGGGTTTCTCTCTTCCTCTCTCGTTCGGTGTGGTGTTGTGTTGTGGTGTGTGCTTGTGCCGTGTGCGTCGTGCCGTTCGTTCGCCCCCCTCCCCTCCGCCGAGTTTGGAGCGTGGCCCGTCCTGTCCTGCTCGACCTGCCTGGCCTGAGACACACAGAATGTCCTGGCCTGGTTGAGCGTCGCGATGGGGAGTTCTAGAAGAGTAATCGCAGAGCGTGGGAGGGCCGCGCGGTGCTTGCATCTGCCACCGCCCCGGCCCAAGCCTTTTTCGGACCCGCCCGCTGCCTCCCTTCTTTTCTCTCTTCCTCTTTCGTTCGGTGTGGTGTTGTGTTGTGGTGTGTGCTTGTGCCGTGTGCGTCGTGCCGTTCGTTCGCCCCCCTCCCCTCCGCCGAGCTTGGAGCGTGGCCCGTCCTGTCCTGCTCGACCTGCCTGGCCCGAGACACAAAATGTCCTGGCCTGGTTGAGCGTCGCGATGACAACGGTGATTATGCAAAAGAAGATGATAATGATGAGCATTATGATGATGATTGATGATGGCGATGAGAGTACTGGTGACCATGATGACAATGATGATGACAATGACGACGATGAGGAGGACGAGGATGAAGATGTGTATGAGGATAAGGATAATGATGATATTGATGATGATGATAATGATTCTGATGATGATGACGATGCTTGTGATGGTGATGGTGGTACTGCTGATGATGATAATCATGATGATTGTTCATGGTGCTGCTGATGACGAAGTTGATGATGATGATGATGCTGATAATGATGTCAATGGTAATGATGGTACTGCTGATGCAGCATATTTTAATGACAGCGATGCTGATGCTGCTGATGATGCTGCTGCTGAGGGTGATGCTGCTGACGCTGATGATGCTGAGTGCTGGTGATGGTGGTGATGATGGCAGCGAGAATGCTACCGACAATGACGAATGGTGCTGGTGGTGATGCTGGTGATGATGATGATAATGGCGACAATGATTATGATGATGGTGGTGATGATGGTGATGATGATAAAGAAGAGGAGGATGATGAGGATGCTGATGAGGATGCTGATAATAATGATGGTGGTGGTGATGTTGATGATGAAGGCGATGATGATGCTGGCGATGCTGCTGATGATGCTGATGACAATGACGTCGACGATTCTTATGAAGGTGATGATGATGATGACGACAACAACGACGACGATTATAATGATGATGATGATGATGATGATGATGATGATGATGATGATGATGATGATGATGATGATGATGATGATGATGATGATGATGATGATGATGATGATGATGATGATGAGGTGGTGGTGGTGGTGGTGGTGGGGGGGGGGGGGGGGAGGAGGAGGAGGAGGGAGAGGAGGAGGAGGAGGAGGAGGAGGAGGAGGAGGAGGAGGAGGAGGAGGAGGAGGAGGAGGAGGAGGCGGAGGAGAGGAGGAGGAGGAGGAGGAGGAGGAGGAGGAGGAGGAGGAGGAGGAGGAGGGAGGAGGAGGAGGAGGAGGAGAGGAGGAGAGGAGGAGAGGAGGAGGAGAGGAGGAGAGGAGGAGGAGAGGAGGAGGAGGAGGAGGAGGAGGAGGAGGAGGAGGAGGGCAGGGAGGAAGCGGAGGATAATGGGGAAGGACAGGGACGACAAGGAGGAGGAGCAGTTGGAGAAGGAGGAGGAGGAGGAGGAGGAGGAGGAGGAGGAGGAGAAGACCAGGGAGTCAGGGGGGTGGCAACATCGCATGCCTCTCGTCGATTATCCCTCCGCGCGGGCTTGCACCGCTTTCGGCCCCTGGGGATAGGCGCTGGGCGACGGATTCGCGGTCTTCCGCGACGAGCACGCCAGCTGGGCGACAAGGTCTTTTTGTCTTTTCTGGAAGAACAGGCATCCGTAGCAACGTTCGGGGGGGATAGGTTCAGAGGGTAGCGCATCGACCCTGCATCGACCCTTCCTTGCCGATAGGGGCCCGACAGCCCACACCGCCCAGGAACGTGCGGTTTCGCGATCGGGGGCCTATCGTCGGTCGACCTGCGATGCACCGTTGATTCAAGCTCGATGGCCCCCCCCTCTGAGCCAGCCCCCCCATATCGTTCCCCCTCATGAGACAGCACAAGCATACTTTCTTCACGCTTCGAGTATCCCCAGCAGCTCCGACGCCTTGCATACCTGCACGCTGGCAGTACGACTCAGTTTCAGCCAGCCCCCTCCACTCGCCGGTCCACCGCTGAGGTGCTGCGTGAGGCTCCGCCTAGTCGCTTTCGGTGTGGCTGCGCCCCGCTGCGTTAGGTGAATTTGTCGCTGCGTGCCCCGCTTTGACTGGACTCGCCGCTGGCGCGCTCGCCTGCGGCCGCTGACTAAAAAGTATCCCCATCAGCCCGTCGTGCAGAAATCCTGTCCATGAGAGCTGACGGGGAAAGGGACGCAGAGACACATATAGTGAAACAGAGCGGGCAATCAGGATAAACAGAGAGATCTCGGGAAATAACGGGGTGCCCTTGGAGGGTCTCTTCTGGCCATCCCTGGGGCCCGCGGGGGGGCGAGGGGAGGAGGAGGAGGAGGAGGAGGAGGAGGAGGAGGAGGAGGAGGAGGAGGAGGAGGAGGAGGAGGAGGAGGAGGAGGAGCAGAAGTAACCGCCTCTTGGGGCCCTCGTGGGACGCTCTTGGGGCCGTCTTGGGCCCTCTTGGGAGCCCTGGAGGGCCTCTTGAGGCCATCTTGAAGGCTATCAGTGAAAGAAGGGCGTTCCTCGATTTGCCTCCCCCCTGGCCACTACCAAAATCGTTCGCCTCTTGTGGCGCTCTTTGGCCGATATTGGGCGCACCTGGGGCCGCTTTGGACAAGCAACACAGCGAGAAAACACACATCAATGTGCCCCTAAGTTTGTTTTTTTGGATTTGGCCCTTTTTTGGGGGGTCCTGAAAAGGGGGCTCCGAGAGCACTTGGAACCGTCTTGGAGCGGCTTTTGGAGCTTATTGGAGCATGTCGGAAGCCATCTTGAGCCACCTCAGGCTATCTTGAGCCATCTTGGAGCCCCTCTTGTAGCATCGGAGGCCCTATTGTACCTATCTCTGGCCATTTTGGGCGCTCCAACCCGCCCGCCCCCCCGCCCAGTCCAGACCCCCGGGGAGGGGAGGGGGAGGGGGCCCCTCCCCGAAGGGAAGCTTCGTTTTGGAAGATGTCAGAAAGAACTTTCGGTGTGGCTGCGCCCCGCTGCGTTAGGTGAATTTGTTGCTGCGTGCCCCGCTTTGACTGGACTCGCCGCTGGCGCGCTCGCCTGCGGCCGCTGACTAAAAAGTATCCCCATCAGCCACTTGTTAGACCATCTACGTATGTACTCCCAGAGTGCTGGTGAGGCTTTCGGAGGCCCGCGGAGATGTCTTGGGACGGCACCGGGCCCCCCCCTCGCGGCGCCCTCGGCACCGACCCCGGCGCTCTCCGCGCGCCAGGGGGGGGGATCCAGCACCAGCCCGAGAAATCCGATGCACTCGTGTCGCTCTTCTGCGTCACTTATCATTCCTCTCCCTTCCTCGTCATTCCTCCTCCCCTCCTATTCCTCCTCCTCCTCCTGCTCCTTCTCCTCAGTCCACTGCTGCTCCTGCTCCTTCTCCTCCTCTTCCTCCTCCTCCTCCTCGTCCTCCTCCTCCTCCTCCTCCTCCTTCTCCTCCTCCTCCTCCTCCTCCTCCTCCTCCTCCTCCTCTCATCGAAGAATCAGCAGCAAAAAAACACAAACTTGTGGCGGTCCGCGCGGATTTCTTGGAGCTGCGCTGAACCATTGTCATGTCACTGCTCCTGCAGTTCGTTCTTCCTTCACCCTCCTTCCCACTCCTCCTGCCAAGCTGCCTGCTGTGGATATTGGGGGTTCAAGAAAGGATTCGGGAGGGAGTTCTGGATTCAGCGCTTCGGTTCAACGCGTCCCGTCCGCTTCGTTGCGGGGGTCCCTTCGCATTGTCTGGATTTGAATCCTTGGGGCCCGTGCCGAATATTCTCACTAGTATTGTTTTCCTCAGTCGATGCTTTCTTACATTGTTTGGGGTTCAGCTACGTTTTTGTTTGTCTAGGTGTGTGCCACTTCTCCGCTGACAGGCTTCATGCTCCCTCAGCCCCGCAATCCAAACAAAAATATCCTGGCGAAGGACCCAACCATATGCAGTTGTGGGTGCCGCGATTGTGAATATCTTCTTCGGTGAAGCTCCCCATGGGGCCACGAAGCGCTGCACTGGGTGGGGGGGAACGCAGGCGGGCGCTAGCACTGAGGCCGTCGGTGGAGCTCCTTATGGGGCCACGAAACGCTGCACTGGATGGGCGAAAATGCCAAATTGGGTGTGTGGGGCGCATACGGGCGGTCCCACTGAGGGCCTCGGTGGAACACCCTATGGGGCCACGAAGCGCTGTACTGGGTGGTTGAAAATGCCAAATTGGGTTTCCGGGACGCATGCGGACGGTCCCACTGGGGGCTTCGGTGGAGCTCCCTATGGGGCCACGAGACGCTGTACTGGGTGGGTGAAAGCGACAAATTCATGCGTCCTGGACGGTCCCACTTGGGGCTTCGGTGGAGCTCCCTATGGGGCCACGAGACGCTGTACTGGGTGGGTGAAAGCGACAAATTCATGCGTCCCGGACGGTCCCACTGGGGGCTTCGGCGGAGCTCCCTATGGGGCCACGAAACGTTGTACTGGGTGGGTGAAACGCAGGGAGGAGGGAGGAGGAGGAGGAAGGAAGGAGGGAACGCGGGGATTGTCTTTTCAAAACGAGGACCCAACACCACAGGATGGTTGGGAAAAACCTCCTGCTGCCCTTCGAGTTCTCGGTCCGGCCCCTGCCGCTCCAGAGGGCCAGGAGGGCCGTGAAGGCCAAGACCTGGCGGTGCGCCCTGCGACGGCAGCAGGGAGCGCGCGTCCGCAACCGGAAATTAGCGAAATGTTTGTGAGATGTTGCGTCTCCCCAGGGATGGGTCGAAGAAGAAAAAACACGTAAACATAAACAGAATGTGTTGGCGCTCCGCGCGGATTTCCTGAATCCGCGCCTAGGGCCTAGGGGTCCAGCACGAGTCCAAGAAATTCGCGCGGAGCGTCAAAGGGTTATATCTATGGCGTTTGTTCTTTTTCTAGAGACGCTGCGCTTTCCCCGAGATTGGGGCGCCGCGCCGCAGCGCAGTGAAGGCTGCCAGGGGCGGCCCCGGCCATCGGGGGCGATCGCGCCGGAAACGCTCGCCTCGCGACGCGCTGGAGAGCCCTGGGCGGGGTGCGCCGGGTGCGAATAGCGCAGCCTTTCGCAGATTCCAGGCCTTCAATTCGAAAAAGGCTTGGGCTAGAACGAATGGGGGAAATGATAGGTTATGCGGTTGAACGCTTCAAGTTTGCGTTGGAAGTACGTGAGAATCAGTAGGCGTTATTTTCTCTTCGAACACTCTTCGGGTGCTTCAAGTTGGACCGCGTCGCCAATGCAGGCAATGTTAGAGCACGACCACGCGCAGACATGCGATGGCGATTTTCGTTGTTATGACCTGAAACAAGCGTTAAAATGAGGAGGGGGTCATGAAGAAACCCGCGCGGCTCATGGCGAACAGCCCCATGCATTGGAACACCTTCGGCGCGACATGTCAAGGCCAGCGCCAGCGCACTGAGTTAACTGGAGGACATATCCAGAGGAGATGTACCCAGAACGACTGTGTCGAGCTACACCTCAGGGCCTAGTGAACCAGATGAGGGCCGATGACGGGTTAGGGCGTTCATTCAGAGCTTGTGATCTTGAGGTCCATTTGGTCAATTGGAATGAACCAGATGGAGGAGCATAAATTAACGAGGTCGGACACGAATCAAACGAGTGGAAACTGACCCATTTCAGCTTGGGCAAGAACAGATTACGGCACATCGTGTCCCATGCTTTAAGGGATTTCCGGGCCCACATGGAGGGCCTGCCTACGTAGGGTTTTGGACGCTGGCCAGGTGGTCGAGGACAGGGGGTTTAGCGAGATCAGAGCGGAGGAGAGAATTCAGAGGAGGAGCGCGCACCGTCGCCACGAAATGCGCCAATGGATTTGTGGGGCGTGCCAACACCAAAGGGTGGTTACAAACCCCGGGACGTGAGAGGCGCGTGAGAGTGCTGATGAGGCGCAAACAATTACCAGAGGTGACATATGCGAAGTTCATCGCGAACATGGAAAGCACAAGCGTGGGATGATGTGTGTGCGGGAGTAAGCTCAATCCAGAACTCACGTTAAGAACCCGCGAGGAGGAGATGGAGCCATTAAGAAACGTGAGGTTCACGAACGTATAAAAAGAGGAGGAATGTTGGGCGGTTGCTGGCAAAGCCCGCAGTGGCACGAGGTGGTGACATCAATAAGGGGGGCGAGACGTGAGTACCGATCCCGTCTTTTGGCTCAACAAGTTAAGTCACATTCCAAAGAGAAGAACATCTTTGCAGCCACACCCCCATTGGAAATCCACGCGCTGATCGTGGGGCGCGTGAGACAGGACTAGAGTTGGCGTTTATAGACGTTAGACGGGCGAACTTTTCACACCAAGTCCAATAAGAAAACCTTCATCAGACTACTCGAGATGATCGTGAAGCAAACATGTGTGCAACATTGATGAAACCAATGTACGGCAGTCGGGATGCAGCCAGCAATTCTGAAGATTGGTACATGGATGTTGCGCGTGATTTCTCCCCTTCGCAGTGGGGAAGCATCGCCATGTGTGTGAAACCATGGGGCAGGACGGATCTGGTGAGCTGAACATGGGAATGGTTTTTCCCGCTGGGATATGACGTCGACCTTGCTTGGCTCGAGTGAAAAATTGCTGGCGCTTCGCGTCTACCCTCCAACCCTTTTTGCGCGACTTCGCTGGCGCCACCTCTTGCACCCGCCAGGCCTCGGCCCGCTGCTCGGGCTTCTCTGAGTTGCTTCCCCGGCCCCCCCGTGGCGCCCCTACGCGCCATTTTGGCCGCGCTGCAGCTTCGGTTGCTCAAGTCACTCGCTTTCTTGCGATCCGCTGCTGTTGGGCCTCCTGGCCTCGGCCGCCCTGGTGCTCCGCAGCTTGCTGATGCTCGCGCCCCCGCTGGGCGCGCAATTCTGCTTGTGGCAGTCGGTTCTCTTGGCTTCGGCCACCCTGGTACCTCCGCAGTCCCATGGGCGCCTACGCCCCTGCATTCAATATCCTGGCAGCTCGCAGGCCCTGGCCGCCGTCCACCCTGGCAGCCAGCCCCTCCTCGCGGCGCGTTGCATGCGTGCACCCTGGCAGTGCAGCTCTTCAGCAGGTGCTGTCAGCCCCTTCCCGCTCGCCGGCCTGGCCGCTGAGGTACAGCGCGAGGCTTCGGCCCACCGCTTTAGGCTAATTCGTCTTTGCGCGCCCCGTTCTGACTGGGCTCGCCGCTGGCGCGCTCGCCCGCGGCCGCCGATTAAACAAAAATCAACCCGCCAACCCGCCCAGAAACATATCGTCTGGCGAGTTGCCATGGCCAGGGAAGTTTAGACACGCGCAGTGCAAAAGCCGCCCTGAATGCGTTTTCTCGGGGTCTCTCAGGGGCCATATCGGGTCTCTCTTGGTGTCCTCACGGAGCAAGCTGGGGCGCCATTGGAGCCCGCTTGTCGCTGCTTTGGGGGTCTAGGGGCCCTTCGGGGCTCTGCGGGGCGTTTGGGATCCTCTTGGGGCCGCCTTGGCCCCCGAGGCTTCAACGGACAGGGGCGACGGATTCAGCTCCCCCCCTGCGCCGAGCTCCGGCGCGTCGCCCGTCATCCAAAACTCGCCCAGGGCGTGCCTGAGAGCGCTTCTGAGCGCCGCCGTCTCCTGCTCGTGGCGGGCCTGCAGCTCCCAGTGCATCCTCGCGTTGTCGTGATGGACCCACTGCAGGTGCTGGAAGGCGTCGCGCGGCGCCTGCTCCGCCTGCTGCTCGAGGCGGCGGTTGCTGGCGCGGTGCTCCTCCGATGGCCTTCGCACGCCTGCCAATGCCTGCCAGGCCCCCTCCTCGAGGCGCCGCTTGCCCTGCTGGTGGGCCTCGGCCTGCTCCATGCCAAACGCGACGAGCCGCCTCTCCTGCTGCGAGTGGTGCGCCCCCATGGCCGCTTGCCTCGTCTGGAGCTCGAGGTGCGCTGCCATCATCTCCTGACCTGCCCGAGCCTCCTGGTGGCCCAGTTCCACGGCGCGCCGCGCCTCCGAAGCTCGCGCCTGCTGGGCCAAGGCTAGCGCTTCGCTCTCCAGTTCGGCGCGTGTCCGGTGGCGGCGCTCGCGCTCCTGGCGCGCCAGCTGCAGGCGCTGCCCCTCGCCTCGCCGAGCCCTGTTCGCTGCCTCCATCATGGCACGCGTTTCCTGCTCGGAGCTCCTCTTCTGCCCCTGGAGCGCCTCCTGGGCCTGCGTGGCGAGGTGGCGCTGCAGCTGCTGAAGCGCTGCGCCTGCCTCCTCCTGCTGGTGCTGCTTGTTCCCGCTCTGCCACTTGCGGCAGGCGGCCTGCTCGTGCTCGAGCTCGCGGTGAGCGGCACTCCTGACAGCCTCAACCTCGCGCTCGTGGCCTCGCTGCTGGCGCTCCAGCTGCTCGGAGACCGCGCGCAAGGTCTTCTGGGCCATGGCCTGTTCGCGGCTGCGTAGCTTGGCTGCCTCCTCTTGGTGGCCGGCAGGCTGAGGGGCAGCTGGCGGCCTTGGGCGGGCTGCTGCCTTGGGCGGGGGCCCAGGGCCTTATGCCAGAGGCGGCCTGGAGGGCCTGGCTGCCGCTGGATGCGGCGTCTGCGCTCGGCCTCGGCCTCCGACTCCGCTTCGGCCAGAGGCTTCCGCGTCGCCTTCGGCCTCGGACTCCGAAGGCGGGCCGCTGGCCGCGGTTCTCGCCATCATGTCCTTGGTCTCCCGGATCAGCACCCTGTAGATCCGCGCGACTTTGGTGGCCTGCGCCTCCTCGTCCAGCTGTGCCGCGATCCTGGCCTGGAGGCTGGCGAGCTCCTCCTCGGCCAGCTCCAAGGTGGAGCGCGGCTGGCGCAGTCTCTCCTTCGGCGGGATCACGAGCGTGATGTTCTCCGCCGTGGCCGCCGCCTCATATCCCATGTTGTCGAGCGCAGCACCTGCGGACCGCGCTCCCGCGATGTTGTCCGCCAGCCTGGCGAGGCGCTGGCTGCGGGTCCTCCGCCAGACCTCGAGCATCTCCGGGTCTGGCGGCGGCGAGCTCCACGACTCGTGCCCTTGCGCCTCCTCGTAGGACATGGGCAGCACCATGTCGAGGACGGCGCGCTGTTTCTCGGTGAAGCCGCTCTGCTGCTGGGGCTGCGGCGCCTGCTGGCCTGCTGTTGCGGCCGCGGTGCCTGTTGGGCGGCGGCTGCGCCTGCGCCTGTCGGCAGGCGTGTCCTCCTGCCAGTTGCTGTGCTGCCGCTGGCCTTGGGGCCAAGCAGACCCTGCCACTGCTGCTGATTTTATCCAGTGCTGGTCTGGTGCTGCTGGTTGCGCTGGGCGCTGCGCGCACGCTGCGCTCGCCGCGGCCAGGGGCTCTCCCCGACGGCTGGGCCCGAGGACTTCTTCCTCTGGCCAGCACTAGGCGCAGCGCCAGCGGGCTGCTCAGGTGCCATGGTGCTGTGGTGCTCGGCCAAGGTCGAGGCGGCAACCAGCACTCTGAGCAGCACGCGCGCTGCTGCCCTCTTGCTGCGCTGCCTGCGGTGCCAGGCAGGCTCAGGCCCCTCGCGAGGCCTCGTGGCCGCCAGGCCTGAAACGCAGCGGCTGCGCCTCCTCGCCGCGGGGGCGCCGACGCGGCGGCGGCGATGGCCCGCCGCGGCGCGCGAGCCCCAGCCCAAGGGAAGGCCGCGCGAAGGGGGGGGGGGAGGGTGGAACGACGACCGACCCTGGCCCGCCCCGACGACGACGGCTAGCCCGCCTGGGCCAGTGGCTTCTTCCCCTTCCTCCTCCTCCTCATCATCATCATCAACGGGGCCTCATCCCCCCCCTTCTCCTTCCTCCTCTATCTCTTCCTCCCCCACCTCCTCCTTCCGCAGCCATTTCGGCTCAAGTCACCATGTCGCCTTGCGGCCGCGCGGAGACCTCTGAGCCGAGGACAGACCCCGTCATTTCCCAGCCACAACCAGGGGCGAGCTGGCACTCGCGCTTCCTGCCGCTACTATCAGGGGCTTGCGGCCGCCCATTCCTGCCCATAGTCTTGGCATTGCAAGCTGTCCTCCACATTGCCCGGCCCATCGGCCAGACCTCCGTCTCCGGGCGACAGCTGGGCCTCAGCCCGACTTCCGTCGCCGAGCTCCGGGTCCATATCCCGCTGGGCGTCGACGTTGTCGTTCCCCAGCAGCAGCGCCATCAGCAGCTACGCAGTGGCATCGGGTTCAGGTTGGTAAGTGGTGCAGCACATAACAGCTCAGCGCCCGTCGATTCGCAGCCATGTCCCCCAGTGAAGAGCGATCTACCTCACGCGGAGCCCCCTCAGTCAGCCGCCGAAGAAAAGACCGTCGCCGCGAAAGACCACGTCGCGAATCTGACCGCGCACCTCGAGGACCCCATGAGCGCGAAGATAAAGGTTTCCGTGCATCAGCTGCACGCGATACCGCGGCGACCCACGGTGACCACGGTTTCCCTTCGCAGCCAGCCGGGTCACGCTCGGGGAGAGCATCGGGACAGGAAGCTCGAACAGGCAGATCTCCAGCCCGCCAGTCGCAGCAGACGCCCACCTTCGCCATGGGCACTGGAGAAGAAGAACCGCGCGATCCTCCACGCGCTGCCGCCGACGCTGCTCCTCAACAATATCGCGATGGTATCTGGACTGAACCTCATGCACAGCAGCCCGCGGTAGCACCTCGTCCCGATCCATTGGCAGGAGCAGCAGATCCTTGGCGCGAAGGAGGCGCAGCCACATATGCTCACGCTGCTGCGGCACGCGGCCATGGACCACCACCAACCGCTGGAGGAGCCGCCGCCGCGCATCATGCTGAAGCCGAGCAAGCCACGCCCTGCGCCTGAGCCTGTTCGCCCCCCTGGGCTGGACCCAGACCTGGACAAATCATTACAAGACTCATGTAATCACAAGGCGCACATGCAGCAAGCACCTTCCAAGCGCAAGCCAATCAGCTACTTCATCAATCCAGAGAAAGCCTTCGTCAACTTCTCACACAGCAAGTACAAGCCACTGAACGCCGAGCCGATGCCCTTCATGATGTCGTCGCTAGAACCCGCCGCGAACTGGACCGACAAGCTGCAGACCAGCAAGGGACGTGGCAGCAGATCGACCAGATGCGCGAGACGCTCGCGCTCGCCGAGGCCCAAGCGCCGATCGCGGACCTCGCCAGGCTCGCCGACTGGGACCGCGCGATCGACCCGACGATCTTCACCATCGGAGCCCAACGCCCCATCGCGCCTGGCGTGCTTCTCAACGACCTGCATGAGTGGATCGCGTCTGCCAACCTGGACACGGACGCCGTCGAGCTATATGAAGATGAGCCTGCACGCTGCTTCATTCTTCAAGTGAGAGGAGATCGCGCCCTCGCAGTTCCTCGGGCTCTTGCTCTCTCTCGAGCCCTTCGTGACGCCGCAGGGAAGTGGAAGCGATTCACATCAACGGACACCACGGGCGCGCCGACAGCCATCTACTTCAACCCCGACAAAGCCCCCAAGCAGATCCGCACCGAGATCCAGTGCAAGGAACTCCTCCAACTTCTCCAGCATCGATATCCGCAAAAGGCTTGGAAGGCCTATCGCACCAAGGGCGAGATCCACTGCAACGCCATGCCCGTCGTGCGCCTGGACGTCAAGGGCCAAGCCGGCCCGGCCATCTTGGAGTGGAACGAGAAGGCCTTCGAGCTCGCTCACTTCCACGACATCGGTCGCAGTGCCGTCCTTACTCCTTTCCAGGCGCTCTTCGCGGACACGGCTGAGGCAACGTGGCGGGTTTAGCCACCCCTGGGCACCGTGGAAGCCAGTCGAGGACAACATGCCCTGCTCGTTCATCACCTGGGACGCCCGCGCGCTCATGTGCCACAAGCGCCCGATGCGCCGTCGCAAACAAGTAGCTCTGCAGCAGTACGTGCGCCAGCGCGCTGTCATTGTCCTACAGGAGGTCCATGGCTCGGAGAAGCTTCTCCGCACGTGGGTCGACACCCAGCCTTACCCGTGCTAGCTCTTCTTTTCGCAGTTCGTCGACGAGTCCGCCGATGACGCGCGCGCTGGCACGGGCGGCGCGGCCACCCTCGTCCCGTGGCTCACGCGCGCGCAGCTGGAACAGCTGCAGCCGTCCCAGCTCCCGCTCCTCGCCCACGAGGAGCTCGTCAAAGGCCGCGCCCAGATCGTCGCCGTCACCAACGCAGTCACCTGCAACGCCCTCGTCATCATGAACGTTCATCATCACGAGATCGACGCCAGGGGTCGTGATCGCATTCAACGTGCCCGGCACCAACACCGCACGTGGGCGGACCCCAACTGCGTGCACCGCACCTTCCTTGCCCTGGGCGACTTCCACACTGCCAGCCGCCCGCCGAACAGCTTCTTCCAGCCGCAGCCGCAGCGCGCCCGTCTCGCGCTGAACAACAGCGCTCGGCAGCAACAGCCGTTCTGGAAGGCCCTGTTTGACGGCATGCTGGAGGTCGGGTCCGACCTACCGACGCGCTTCAACAAGTCCGGTTTCACTGCGTCCGCCATCGATCGGGTCTTCATCAGCTTGCCGTCGCGCGCCTTGCTTGAGCCCACATGGGTCATCCGCATCGCTCACGACCCTGCCATCCTGTCGGACCGCCTCCTCAGCGACCGCGCAATCGTCTCCTACGCCATCGGTATCAAGCCGAGGACGCCGCCAGTGGAGCAGGCTAATCCCCCCAGCCATCTTCCGCGACCCCTCGTTCGCCAAGTACCTCCAGCAGATGCTCGACCACACCGTCCCGACCCACCTGCCGATCGCGAACCGCTGGCGCATGCACGAGCGCCTCATGGTTGAGGCTGCCCGTCTTGTTCGCGATGATTGGATCAGCCGCGCAGCTGGAGAGATCGGCAAAACAAACCACGCCGACGGCCAGGTGATCACAGCACGCTCGATTTCGCGAGCGATCTGGCGCCAGGACATCCATCTGGCACGCCGTCTGCAGTCCACCACCGAGCCCGGCGCAAAGTGCTTCGTTCTGGACGACGGCGTCATCGCGCTCTCGGACGCCGCCGAGTTCGCCATCCTCTCTGCGCAGCGACTTCGAGGCTCGGCAACGCTCCCTGGCACAAAGAGCGGCCCAGTTGCCGCGGGGCACGCCGGGGGCCATCGAGCCTGAGAAGCTCCGAACGATCGCCCGTGCGTCCCAGCGCAGAGCCCTCCTTTGGGCCCCGTGGAAGCGCCGTCTTGTCTTCCAGGGCATCAGAACCACCGGCCCTTCGGGCCTTCCTGGGGTAGCCAGAGAGAGCTGTGCGATGGTGGACGCACTTCGCGACCACTGGCGCCCTGTCTTCGAGCGCAAGCAGGTCGACGAAGCGAAGGTCAAGCAGCACATCGCCTCGCACATGCCGCTCTTCCCCACCGTCGACGTTGGCGCGCCCACCAAGGCGCAGATCCGCGGCTTCTTGCAGCGCGCTGCGCCGTCTGCGCCCGGGCCCGACCTTTTGCCGTACCGCGCCTGGCTCGCCGTCGGCGCGTCTTTGGTTTTGCTCGAGGACCTCGCTTGGCACCTCTGCTCCAACGCTGACTTGATCCACGATCTGAACGACTCCGACTTCGCCTTCCCCCCAAAGGGCGGCAACCTCACGGGCGAGCTCACGACGGACCGCTTGCCAGAGGACCCTCGCCCGCTCCCCTTCAAGAACGCGGATTTCAAGGCCATCGCGGGCGCTGCCATCTTCCTCATCAAGTCCGCTGTGGCAGAGCGGACGCATTACGCACAGCAGGGCTTCGTCGTCGGCCGCATTTTTTCCAAGCACGTCGTCAACCTAGACGCGGAGATGCGCCGTGCCGGGGCGCGCCCCGACGCCGAGCTGCACAAGCCCGTCTTCACCAGCTTCGACTTCGCAGCGGCGTTCCCGTCGCGCGGACGGGTCTGGCTCTTCGCATCGCTGGGGCGTTTCGGAGTTCCTGGGGGCCTGCTCAGTCTCTTCCGCCAGCTGTACCACGCCCCGAACAGCTTCCCAAAGATCGACGGTGTCCGTCACTTCATGTTCCCGATCGCGTCTAGCGCGGCGCAGGGCTGTCCTGCGAGCGGCTCAGCGCGGGCGATCGCGATGGACCGGGTGGTGCGGCACCTCGCTTCTTTCGTCGAGACGGTCGATGGCACTCCTGACTACGACAAGGGCTACCTCGGTGTGTGCGCGGACGACACTGGCCTCCTCACGTCCTCGATCGACACGCTGCGCCGCACATCTGAGCCATTTTGCGCTGCTGAAGAGCTCGCGCTCCTCACGCTCAAGCCTCGTAAGTGCGTCGTCGTCCCGCTTTGGACGAAGGCAGCGCCTGCCACCACAGCCCGAACGAAGGCCCTCCCGGCCGACCTCTGTCCCTCCTGGGGAGGCTTTTCGGTTTCGGGGCGAGCCGAGTACCTCGGGGCCTTCCTCGGGCCCTCGGCCTCTGTCGTCTCGCAATGGCTCGCCCATGGGCAGAAATGGTGGCAGCGTGGTAGTTCTCTCCAGCTTGTCGAGAGCGGCAGTGGCGCCACCGTTCGCCTGCGCAACGCATCGGTCGTTTCGACGCTCAGCTATGTCTCACAATTCTTTCCGCTTGATCTGAAGATTGCTCGCCGTGAACATTACATCTTCCACAACATGCTCAGCCTGCCGCCGAACACGTTTCGCAAAGTAGATCTCATCGCAATTGCGGAGTGGTGCCCGCCTCCTGTCCCACGATCTGCTCAGATTTCTGCCGTCGCCGCCGCAATTCGTTCTGCAACCTGCACGCTGCGTGGGGGATGGGGGCCATTCCACGCGCGTCTGCGAGACACCGCGTGGGAGGAGAGCGCGGCTCACTCCTTCCATCGGTGGGGGGCCAGGCAGCGGTCTCCGCCCTTCTGGGAAGCGGACACTTCCATCGTGCAATTCTACCATGCCCTGTCCTCCGGCAATCGCGTCGCGCCGTTTTCTGCAGCTGCCGTGGCCGCGGCAAACCGCGCAGTTGCCCGCGAGCTCCGCGAGTCCCCAGCCGCCGAGCCACCGCGCCGCCCTAAGGTGCAGCGCGCGCTCGCGCTCGCGCTACAGCGCGCCTCTTTTTCGTCGCCGTTCACAGCCACTCTCGAGAAGCGCATCGCAGCATGGAGCATCCATCAGCCGCCCTCAGCCCCAGAGCTCGCGACACGCTGGTCCGCTCTCACCAGTGCACTCCGCAGAGTCCGCCCCAGCTGGCGCTGGGCGGTTTACAAGACGCTTGCTGGAGGATGGACGACCACCCACCGCATGCGCGTCTTCCAGCAGAAGCAGTGCGTGTTTGGATGCCAGGCGGCACCCGACTCGTTCACTCACTACCTCTCCTGCCCTGGCTTCCTGAGCCTCCTCTGGTCCCCCGACTCCCCCCCGCTCCGCAACGCACTTACACATTGGGGCTTGGGCCCCGCCGCCGCCGATCCGTCTGATCCTGACAGCGACCTCTCGCTGCAGCGGTCGATCCAGCGGACAGCGCCGACCTTCAATCTGCGCAACAAAAACAAGCACGCCACGCCGACCCCAGCCACGATAGCTGAAGGGTTGAGCGCTACCAAAGCAGCGCTCTGGAAGTAGGTCGGCACCAGCGGACGGACGCGTGCTGACAATTTGCCCTCATCTCGCGTCTTGCCCGCTTGCCCTCGTCTCTTCCTCTTTGGGTCCGTGCACTCCTCCTCCTCCTCCTCCTCCTCCTCCTGCTCCTCTTCCTCTCCTCCTCCTCCCCCTCCTCCTCCTCCTCTTCGTCCTCCTCCTCCTCCTCCTCCTCCTCCTCCTCCTCCTCCTCCTCCTCCCTCCTCTCTCTCTCTCTCCTTCCTCATTGATCCCTCCTCCTCCTCCTCCTCCTCCTCCTCCTCCTCCTCCTCCTCCTCCTCCTCCTCCTCCTCCTCCTCCTCCTCCTCCTCCTCCTCCTCCTCTCTCTCTCATTCCTCACTGATCCTTCCCACCGCCCCCTTTCTCAATTTTCTCCTTCCTCCAACATTTTCATCCCCCTTCCTTTTCCCAGGCGTCCGAGGATATAGTTTTCAATGCGCGGCCCCAGAAGTCTTGACCTTCTTTACAGGGGGTGACCGTTCCCCCAAGATCCATGTTTGATGATCTCGGGGTCCGATCGCAGGCCCTGGTGCCCGAAATCGGGGAAACACGCCAGGATTGAAAAATCGTACCATCAGAGATTGGGGTTCTTCCTCGGGTGCAACCCGAAGGGGTGCGGGCTGGAAGCCGATGGGAGCGACTTCGGCGCCGCTCCTCTGGCCTGGCCAGGAGGGGCGGCGCAGAGAAAAAAAAGAACGCCGGACAGCACGAGCAATGCGCGGCTGGTGAAGAACTTCGGCCAGGACGGCCGCCTCTCGCTCCTCCTCCTCCTCCTCCTCCTCCTCCTCCTCCTCCTCCTCCTCCTCCTCCTCCTTCTCGTCCTCCTCTTCCTCCTCCTCCTCCTCATCATCGTCATGATCATCAACATCCTCGTCCTCCTCATCATCATCATCATCATCATCATCATCATCATCATCATCATCATCATCATCATCATCATCATCATCATCGCCCCCCCCCGCCTCCCCCCTTCCCCCCATCGTGCACGCTATCGTCGCTAATAAAAACGCCTTAGTTCACACCATTTCTTCCCACCCTTTCCCCTCCCCTACTCTCGCATCGCATCTTTTCCTACTCATCCATTCCTGCTCTCCTCAATCCTGCTTTTTCCCCTTCTGCTCCATATAACCCTCCAGCGTCCTTCATGTTTCCATTTCCATGTTTTATCATCATAGAATTCTCCTGTCTGTCTCCCCCCCAGGCGCGTCTGTAGGGCGGGCCGGGCGTTTCGTCTGAGAGATCCCCAGCCTTTTGGATTCTCATGTCTGAATTTCACAACTGTCACAAGCATGGAGTACATGCAGTTTTCAACATGAAGTTCTCGCCTTGGTGTTGCGTACTGTTGTTTTTGAAATCGTGCAACAATCAGAAGGATGGAGAGCAGGTGTATTGCAAAATGGCGCCCTCGCACTGCGTGCAACAGTTGCAAGGATGGTGCACAGGTGGTTCTCAAAACGGTGCTCTCGCCGCAGCTTCGCGCACACCACTCCTCGCAACAGTTCTAGCCTTAGCACCGTGCACATCCGCTGAAAATCTTGCAACCGTTGCAGGAATGGAGGGCGTGTTCTTTTGGAACTGGGGGTGTTACTGTATGCGGCGCCACGTACGTTCGATTCAAACGCTTGTAACAATCACAAGGGTGCACATGGGGGGATTTTCGACATGGGGCTTTAGCTTCAGCGCCACGCACTTATCAGGGGGGGAGGACAGCTCCCTCTCGCGATCTGGCTCTCGCCTCAGACCCCCTTAACTTGACCCGACTCTTCAATGTATATAGTAGTTGCACGGATGGAGGGCGGCTCATGGTCAGAATGGGGTTTTCGCTTGGGACTTCGTTGGATCTCATGGCCAGGAGTGCACCTTCGTGCGATTGTTACATGAATGGTGACGGTCATTTAAAGTATTGAGACCTCGCTGGACACCTCGTTGAACTGTATGACCCATACCCTTTTCCGCATTTCCGATGACGCGCTAGAAGGAGACAGTCGAATTCCTCCAGGGTGGAGCTCTCTCCTGAATGGCAGGTCCACATGGTGCTGGTCTTCCAAGGGGGCGTTTCTTGTAGCGAAAAGGAAAAGCAGGTTCCTGCGGCGAAGGGACTTGAAACGGGAACGGGCGTTGTCGCATCGCTGATGCATCTTGGTCTTAGTTGGTCCTTCTCTTCTCCTTTTCCTCCTCCTCTTCCTCCGCCTCCTCCTCCTGATCCCCCTCCGTTATCTTCACCCGTCTCGTTTTTCTCTCTTTCTCGCCAACTCCTCCTCCTCCTCCTCCTCCTCCTCCTCTTCCTCCTCCTCCTCCTCCTCCTCCTCCTGACTCTCGTCCTTCTCATCCGTCTCTTTTTTCCCAACCCTCCTTGGTTGGGTATTCGTTTTGAATAGAGCAGTGTGGTCTCCACTTCCTCCTTTCCTCCTGCCTCCCGTCCAGCCTCCCTCTTGCCTCCTCCTGTCTTGCCTGCGGGGGGCTGCGATCTGTGAAACTGTCGCCACTTTCGATGCCTGCTGGGGGGGGCAGCACAGTGACGCCACGGGCGGATTCAAATTAGACCTCGCCATCCCTGGGGGGCTGCGATCTGTGAAACTGTCGCCACTGTCGAGGCCTGCTGGGGGGCCCAGCACAGTGACGCCACGGGCGGATTCAAATTAGACCTCGCCATCCCTGGGGGGCTGCGATCTGTGAAACTGTCGCCACTTTCGAGGCCTGCTGGGGGGCCCAGCACAGTGACGCCACGCGCGGATTCAAATTAGACCTCGCCATCCCTGGGGGGCTGCGATCTGTGAAACTGTCGCCACTTTCGAGGCCTGCTGGGGGGCCCAGCACAGTGACGCCACGCGCGGATTCAAATTAGACCTCGCCATCCCTGGGGGGCTGCGATCTGTGAAACTGTCGCCACTTTCGAGGCCTGCTGGGGGGCCCAGCACAGTGACGCCACGGGCGGATTCAAATTAGACCTCGCCATCCCTGGGGGGCTGCGATCTGTGAAACTGTCGCCACTTTCGAGGCCTGCTGGGGGGCCCAGCACAGTGACGCCACGGCGGATTCAAATTAGACCTCGCCATCCCTGGGGGGCTGCGATCTGTGAAACTGTCGCCACTTTCGAGGCCTGCTGGGGGGCCCAGCACAGTGACGCCACGGGCGGATTCAAATTAGACCTCGCCATCCCTGGGGGGCTGCGATCTGTGAAACTGTCGCCACTTTCGAGGCCTGCTGGGGGGCCCAGCACAGTGACGCCACGCGCGGATTCAAATTAGACCTCGCCATCCCTGGGGGGCTGCGATCTGTGAAACTGTCGCCACTTTCGAGGCCTGCTGGGGGGCCCAGCACAGTGACGCCACGGGCGGATTCAAATTAGACCTCGCCATCCCTGGGGGGCTGCGATCTGTGAAACCGTCGCCACTTTCGAGGCTTGCTGGGGGGCCCAGCACAGTGACGCCACGGGCGGATTCAAATTAGACCTCGCCATCCCTGGGGGGCTGCGATCTGTGAAACTGTCACCACTTTCGAGGCCTGCTGGGGGCCCAGCACAGTGACCCCATGGGCGGATTCAAATTAGACCTCGCCATCCCTGGGGGGCTGCGATCTGTGAAACTGTCGCCACTGTCGAGGCCTGCGGGGGGCTGCGATCTGTGAAACTGTCGCCGTTTTCGAGGCTTGCTGGGGGGCCCAGAACAGGCACGCCACGGGCGGATTCAAATTAGACCTCGCCATCCCTGGGGGCTGCGATCTGTGAAACCGTCGCCACTGTCAAGGCCTGCTGGGGGGCCCAGCACAGTGACGCCACGCGCGGACCGAAATTAGACCTCGCCATCCCTGGGGGGCTGCGATCTGTGAAACTGTCGCTACTTTCGAGGCCTGCTGGGGGGCCCAGCACAGTGATTAGACCTCGCCATCTCTCGGGGGCTGCGATATGAGATCCCCGCTTTCGAAGTGGCTAGGATGCTCAGGGATTGTAGCTAATCAGCTTTATCTAGTCCTTGTCCTATAGCCAGTGTCCTGCGAGTCTCCCGAATTCCGTCTGCAGACATATGTAACCCTCGCTCCGTCATCGCCCCCCTTATAAAGTGTTCTAACCTATGTGCGCCCCGCGTTTGCGCAGGGGTTGGGTACGTCGCCAGGGTAATTTCCGCTGAACCCTGCCGCCTCCCTCTCCTCCCCGCCCTTCTCCTACGGAAGCACAGGGGAGAAGGGCTCTCGGAAGCACCGGGGAGAAGGGAGCCCTTCAGCGCAGGAGAGACCTTGAGTGGAACGCGGGGTGGGGGGCACGCAGGCAGCCGGTGGGGAGGTGGAGCGGGGGAGGAGATGGAGGGGAGGCAGCGCTCCTCCTCCTCCTCCTCCTCCTCCTCCTCCTCCTCCTCCTCCTCCTCCCCCTCATTGCTCCTCCCCCTCATTGCTCCTCCCCCCTCTCCTCCTCCTCCTCATCCAGATCATCCTCCCACCTTTTTCTCGTCCCCCTTTCTTTATTTCTCCTCCCCCTGTCAGCTACATGTATATGGAACGCAGAAGGGTGCCTTTTTCTTGGCCGGTTGAAGCGCCAGAGCGCGGCGCTGGTGCAGCCCAGCCCCGCCCCCACGGCCAAGAGGGGCACAGGCGCGAAGCGGGACGTCGGGCCGACGAGTCACCGGCGCCCATCCTGGCGAACGGGCTCCGGACTCGCCTGGCCTCCTGCAGCCGACATAACCGCCCGCCCTCCCCCACCCCGCCATCCGCCCCCACCACCCTCTCCCCTCCCCCCTTCGCCCCACCACCATCCCCTCCTCCCTCCCCCCTGCAGCCCCTGCACGCGTTGCCTCTTGCCCGGCATCCCAGTCCCTGCCCCTGCACCTCCCCTGTGCCCCTGCTCAGCCCTCGTGCTCCCAGTACCATGGCCCCCCGGGCCGATCGGGAGGGAGCGGCCACGGCCGTTCTGCGCCGGCCGCTGGCCGCCCCGCCTCTCCCCAAGGACGTCGCGTGCGTTCGTGCGCCCGTTCCCCAACTCGGGGTCGGCCGAGAGGGGGGTGACGACTAGGGGGGGGGATATCAGGGCGCGGGTCATGATATCTCCCCAGATTTCGTGGCGCCCCTTCTTATTTCAATACGTCCCTGGCCCCCTCTTGGGCCGCGCACGCGCCGCTGGCCATGATTTGCGCCCCCTCCAGGGACGTTGCGCGCGCGCGTTCGTGCGCCCGTTCCCCAACTCCGTGGCCGCCCGGACGGCCGGCGACGGCCGAGCGCCGCCGAAGAATCGACCAGACGTAAGAGTGACTTTCGCTGGAGTGACCTCTGGTGCGGGCCCATTGGGGTCCCCCGATCGCCGACCTCGATGCGATAGCAACGTCCTGCGCGCCTGCCTGTGTTTGGTCCCCCCGCGGCGCCCAAAAGCCGCGCTCGTCGAGAATCGGGGGAGCGTAAGACCCGGGTTTGCCAGGACCCGGGTTCGCCATCGTTTTTTGACGACCGCGACTCGGATTTTGACGAGGAGGAGTTTCGTGGGATGTCTGCAGCGGGAGGCCTCGTCAAAATGCAGACTCGGCCTCGTCATTTTTTTGACGACCTCGTCGGGGATTTCCGAGTCCCCCGTACCCGGGTCTTACGTCTCCCCGAGAGAAGAGCTCCCGCCCCGCAGGAGTCCGAGGCGGCCGAGCGGAGGGCCCTCGCCGCGTTCGACGCCGTGGCCGCGCCGGGAGACTGCAGCCGCCCTGCGCTCGTCGGCCTCGCGCGGACCGGAGTCGCCGTGGGGTCGCACCTACGGTCAAGTCGGGCGTGTCCCCTCGACAGGAGGAGTATCCAAAAATAGTCCAAAACTAGTCTGGGGACGATGTTTCTAATGTTTTCTTTTTTTTGAATATTTTGGAATGTTTTTTCATGGTTCGTCCAACATCCGCCTGTAGGAGGACATGCCCCACCTAGACCTACAGTGGGGGCCCATGCCAAGAAGCACCCTGCTCACCTCCAGGGTGCCCTGGGCCCTGGGCTTCTTGGGTTTCTATGGTTTTGCAGCGGAACGCGTGACGTTCCCACACCAAACATCCATGTACGTCCTGGGGTCTCAGGGTTGGGCTTCTTGTGGAAGGTTTCTTGTGGACTGGCATGGCCTCCACTGTACAGCCCCTCCAGGCAGTCCCAGCTGGCCTCAACAGGCCCCCCCCCAGTAGCCCGGGGCGGTCTCAGCACTTTGGCGCCGCCTCCAGCGGCGCCAGTTGGGCGTTCGGCGCCCCAGGGACTACTCGGGGGGCCTGTGGAGGCCAGCTGGGAGTACCTAGGGGGGCTGTCTGCGCGCAGCCCGAAGGCTCACCATCATCCACCATGAAGAAGTTCAAGAAGAGCAGAGCAGCATGAGCGTTAAGCTTTCAGAGGTCCTCGCGGAGTTCTTGGATCGGCGCTGGTCCCCCCTCCCAGGCGCGCGAAGCGCGCCAGGGGCGGCGCTGGAGGCGCCGCCAGGGCGGTCCCGCGCTGATCCAAGAAACCCGTGCGGACCTTCGGAGCTTATGTTCGAGCAGTTGTTTAGGCTTCCTCCTGGAGCCTGGAGGAACGCAGTCCTGGAGGTCTGTCGCCGTTTTCAGGCGCCTGAGGCTGGACCGTTTCCACAAGGACGCCTTCCTTCCGCGCCGGGGCTGGAGCGTCGTCGCGGGATCGCGGGCCGAGGGGGGTCGAGGTCTCTGGGCCCTCTCTTGAGGCGCCTTCTGGGCCTCCCGAGGCGCCCTTCTTTCGCCACGACCATGGCGGTTCGCCTCGATGTGCTGGCCGGGGCGCCCCCCCGCCTGCAGAGGTCCAAGGGGCCGCTCCGGGGGAGCGGGAGTTCCACGGCGGACCCGACCGCCGTCGCGGGCGACGTGAGCGCGGTTCGGCGGCGGAATCCGAAACCTACCTTCGCCGATCCACGATTCGGGCAACTCGATTGGCGGCGGGGGTATGGTCGGAATTCGTCGAACACGTGTAGAAAGTTGAGCCCTGCCCCCACCTTTCATCGATTGCAGAGGATCGATGATTGGTGGTGGTGGTGGTGGTGGTAGGGTCGGTTAGCCGCTGGTGGCAACGGGTTTCTTAGGGCCGCCATTTGGGCCCATCCCTGACGAAGGGGGCGAAGAGCTCCTGAAACGCGTCGCATGCACTAGACGGCGTCTTGAGCTGTGTACCGTAGAAACAGCTTTGGGGTCAGTCATCTGCTTGCGCCGGTCATTGCCCGCAGCGTGGGCCGTCCGCTCGGGATGCGGGAGAGATGTAGCGCGCATGCGCGGGCGCGATTGGTTTTGCCCGACCGCCTCCGCTCTTCCGCACCACCTGGCCTCCGCCGCCCATGGTTCGACTAAATAAGCTCCACGTTCACCTGAGCTGCAGGCTTGGATTTCGTCTCCGCAAATGTGGATATTTCTCTTTGGCGACATACATACCTGCATGGAAATAGTATAACCAGTGGCTGCAACCCATCTCCGGTCGGCGGTCGGAGGCCAAAAAACCAGTGACTGCAAGCGTGCGCGTGAGTGCAAAATACCGTCGCCCGCTCTTCCCCCCTCATCCTTGTCGTGGTCGTCGCCGTTGTCGTCGTCGTCGTCGTCGTCGCAGTCGCCCATGCCCAATGATGCCCCATGCCGTTTTTCGAGGGGCGCGCGTGTGTATGCGCATGCCACCGTGAATTGCCCCAATGGTTCAACATCGGCCCATGCCTGCGTGCGCCGCGGGAGTGCTCGCGTTGGACGGCGCACTGCGGCAAGGCCCTTTCACGGGTAGCACAAAATACATCTAAACCTTCCAATGGGGCCTTTCTGGGGTGCTCTCGGGGCCTCTTTGGGGTTTCTTGGGGGCATACGGGGGCTTCTTGGGGCCCTCTTTGGTGCCTGCTGGTGGTCTCGGGGGTTATCTGAGGGCGGAGGGCTCGGAATATCAGGTCGAGTCCCCCCTCTTGGGTTGGAAACCCGAAACGGCGAGAGCGCAAGAATCATTCAAAAATCGAACGGGTCTCATGCTTTCTGCCTCCTGGGGTCCTCTTTGAGGGCTTGTTGGGATGCTCTTGGGGGACTCCTGGGTCGTTTTGAGGTCATTTGGGGCGTCTTGGAAAAGTCTTGTTCGGTCTCGGGGCCCTATTGAGAGCCTTGTAGGGCCCTCTTGGCAGGTTTAGGAGCCCACTTCCCTCCAGAAAAGTCACGCGGGAACACGCGGGGACTCGCGACAAGTCCTGGGAGGGCCCAGTAACGTCCGGAACCCGGGGGCTGCGGGCCCATTGAAAAAGTGTTGCGGCTCAAGGACCTGAGGACACTCCATGTCAATCTCCGGGGAAGGGTTGCGGAAACATGTCTGTTTGCCAGCGTTGACCCCAAACAGTAATTGATTGTGCTGTTGACGCGTGCATTTGGTGCAATATAAGTGGCCGAAGCTAGAACATATGTGGTGTACGCTGTGTGATGCAATCGATGCGGTGCGAGCGATGTGGCGTAAGCCAAGTGATGCGGACAATGTGCTGTAGGCTACGGGCTGTAAGCTATGCGGTGGAAACTACGCGGTGGAACTAATTTTTGTTCACAGTGAGTTGTCCACTCCACTGCTCGAGCAAACATCCCACCCACCCACCCGCAACTTGGTTTGCAAACCTCATTCGACAGCGATTGCGATGAGTGCTTGGCGCTGGCTCGTGCATCTCTGCGACCGACGCGGCCGCGGTGGTGTTGACCTTTCGGCACATCCCAGCGGGCACTTGACTGCGAGTCGTCGACTTGGGCGGGTGCGGTATCATGGCAACGTCGACAATTTTAGACACGATGGTGATGAAGATAGTAACGATGTTGGCGACGATGTTGACAGCGACGACGGCACGGCCAGTGACGGCGCGGATGCCGATCACGCCGACGACGATGACGGCGTCTTCGCGTCGGCGATAAAGGTGTTGAAAGGAATCCGAAATGCGCGCGCGGCAGACGCGCGAGAGTGGCTCGCATAGTATTCTTTGACACGGATCGTGCCACCGCAACGCGCGCGCAAGGGCGTTCGAACGTTTTCGACATGCGCGCGCGAAGCCCGTTTGGTCGCATTCTTTGATGAAAAAATTGATGGCTGTCTTGAATTTACAAGAGCGCGCGCGCACGCTTTTGTTGAACATCCGCGTTGCGAAACCTGGTGTTTTCGCATGTTTTTGGGGCACTAGATTTTGAACTCTTTCCCACACCGAAGGTTTCTGAATGATTTCGGCATGCGCGCGCGGCGACGCGCGCGCGTGCACTTTGCCCGATGTTTTGCAAAGGGTTCTCGCGACGGCGCGCGCGCAAGGGCATTCGAACGATTTCGACATGCGCGCGCGAAGCCCGTTTGGTCGCATTTTCTGAAAACCTTGAAAACCGAATGGTTTTTTAAACAAAAAAAACGCAAGGGCGCGCGCATTTTTTTTTGGGGGGATCAGCGCTGCGAAACCAAATGTTTTTGTTCTTTGGACGCTCAGTTTTGAAATCTTTCCGGAACCGAAGGTCTTTGGATCATTTCGGCGCGCGCGCGACGACGCGCGCGCGTGCGCTGCGTCCAATTTTTCCGACGGGGACTCTCGAAAACAGATGACTGTTTGATAATCGAGTGCGCTCGTAGTTTTTTGCGAGGGATTGCGGGGGGACCGATGCCGGCCTGGCTGGGATAGTCATTGAATTCACAGGTCGGACGGACGTTGAGTCAGAATCCTATGTTTTGCATCGGTTCCCGGTGAGTCCGCAACCCCAGGGCGGGGGGGTAGAATTTATTGTCTCGTAGACAGGGGAACCGATGCGGCGCAAGCTACGCGATGCCAGCCATGCGGCGCAATTGAGCATGGAGAACTTGAAGTCTTCAACTCCAGCGCTCGTGAAAACATCCTGCCCCCCACCCGTAGCTCGTCGACGCAATTAGCGCGGCCCCCCTCTCGACAGGCGCGCGGGCGCAGGGGGCTCAACCGCGCAGACAAGTCCGCGATGCAGGTTGCACAACGGCGATGGCGACGGCGCTGACCACGACGCCAGCGACGATGGAGATGATAGCGGCGATGATCCCAATGCCAGTGACGAGGGCAGTGGACACTGGAAATACGCGATGGCGACAACGATCATGTTGAAGGCGATGAAACTGATGGCGATGATGATGGCGGCGGCAACGATGACGCTGGCGATAAAGACGAAGGGCGATGCCGATGGCGATGATGACGAAGTGCCTGCGCGCAGAACGTCGGCGAGGACGAGGGCGACGCCGCCGCCGCCGACGGCGGCGGCGACGGCGGCGGCCCCGACCCCGACGACGGCGATGATTCTGACGGCGACGACGGAAATGGCGACGCTGACCATAATATGGGCGATAAGGAGGTGCGCCCGCGCAGAAGTTCAAGAAGCGCCACAGACTTGTCGACAAGAACTGGGTTCTCACCTGTGTTCTTTCCGCCCGTTCCTGTTGTGTTGAGTCTTCGGTTTGAGCCCGCAACGTTGCGTTCCACCTCGCCTTCCCCCCCCGCCCCCTCCTCCCCCCGCCGTGGCCGCCCCGGCTTTCGACGTGCGCTGCTCCACGAGGGGGCGCGTGGGTTCCTCGGATCCAATGCCAGTTCTCGCGCCCGCGCGCGCTGGCTGAGTTTTCTTTCGGGAAGTTGCAATTCGCAGTCGCAGCGCCGCCGCCGAAGGGGCTTCCGCGGGCGCTGCGTGGAGGGAAGCCGCTTCGTTGGGGATGTCCACATTGTGTGAAGTACGAACTGGGCGTTCACAGTGGTCTGTCGCCGCGGTCAAGGAGCGCCACCACGCGCTCTCGCGCGGGCGAAACGAGAGGGCCTCGCAGCTCAGGGCGCTGCAGCAGCTGCTCAGCCAGCACCCAGATCGGCGGGTGGAGCGGGTTTGCGTCAGAGGGCAGCTCCCTGGGGCACCTGGCCCAAGGAGGTCAAGCATCTGCGGGGTGAGCCCATGCGCGCGGCCGAGGCAATCGCGAAGCTCAAGAGTGGGGGGCAAGACAGCATGGACGTCGACGGCGTGGCCCAAAGGTAGCGCGACGCGCCGTGGGCCTTCTTCTTGCGCGCCGATCTCCAGAACAATATCAACGGTTATGAGAGGTCCATCGAGGACTTCTTCGCAGACTTTGGAGAGACCGACGCCGCGGCGGCGCGCAATCCCAAGGTCAAGGGCCCACGCTTGCACGCGCGAGAGATGTGCGCCCCAGCTGTTGCACGCAAGCGGATCACCCAGAAGTTGGAGAAGGCCCGAGTGCAGTTTCGCAAGGCAAAGGTGGAGATGGAGAGCTTTTAGCGGCGTTGAGCGAACATTCAGGAGGACATGCGGGCCGCGCGGCGCTCGTCGAGGCAGAGGAGAGGGAGGCCGGGGCTCTCGCGGCGAAGATCGGCGGGCAGGCGAACAAGTTCCATGGCAGTGTTAATTCTGATATGTCGAACCTACCAGAAGAGGCGCCCGCCCCCGATCAGAGCAGCAATGGCGTCAAGGGACGCCCTCAGCTCTTCAACTCCTGCACCGGCGGCATGGCGGATCCTAGGTTCGACGTGGTGCAGGAGGTCTGCGGGCCCTGCTCCTTGCTCCTGCTGCGCAGCATGCCGCCACTCTTGATGATGGACCCACTGGGAACGAGGGTGGCGTCGAGGCCGAATCAGTCCCAGCCCCTGAAGATGAGCGAGCTGGAGAGCAGCGTAGCAGAGGGTTCTTGTGGGAGGTTGTGGAGGCCGATCAGCTCTGCTCACAGCTGCGCGCTGGGCCCGACATGCCTGCCGTCGCCCGTCAGAAGCGCGAGGGGATGGCGCAGAACGTCCAGAGCACCCACCATCGCAGAGTGAGCAGTGGGGCCGAGCCGCCTGGCGGGTAATTCGAAGCAGGCGGCTGGCCATCGCCCGCTGGTAGGTGGGCTGCAGGGGCGGCAGGGTATCTCGCGTGTTCCACCGGCGCCAACAGAGGCCCTGGGCGCGCGCTGCGTAGAAATATATGACGCCAGCCAGGGCAAGCTCGCGCTAAAGAAGAGGCTCAGTCAGACAAAGACGCATGTCGCGATGGCGCATGAGATTGGGCACCATAATGGGAATGCGAAGCGCCGCCATCATGGGCGGCCAACAGCAAGAGACAAGTGATCGCAGCGCTGGGCGCGCCCGCTGCCGGCAAGACCCCTTCGGCTGGATTGACACTTTTCGCGAGGTTGGCAGTTGTGTTGCGTGGCCCCTTGAGACCTGCGTCGAAGTTCCATGATGGAACCCGGTCAACAATTCAAAAGCTTCAACTTGCGCCTGCGCGCGGGCGAGGGCATGTCTTCGAGGAAGGCGAAGATTTCGACGATTATTGGATTGGCGATAGCAGGGCGGCAATTATCAGCAATCATAGGCGGCGACTGGAACGCGGCGGCAGCAGGGGCGGGCGCAACCAGTTTTGCAGCTCGCGCGCAGGCATCGCCGGCGGTGCCCAAGGCAATGACGCGCAGGGCCCGATCGGCGAACACCGTGGTCGGCTTCTAAGCGATGAGCTCTGGAGCTTTCAGTCTGGTGAAAGAAATATCGGCGGACCTGGCGCGGGCGATCGCATCCCGCCGACGGCCCCGGGGCCGCTGGCACGCGCAGTGGACTGCTCTGGAGAAGTTGCGCCCGACCCTGCCAGCGTGGCCATCGCCGCGCTGGGCGCCAACGTCGCGCGCGGCAGATCGCATTCGTGATCGACTGGCTCCGGACCTCTCCCACTGGAGTTTCAGATGGGCTGGTCGGTCGGCCACTCTCACGGGCCCGCGCAGCAGGGCACCTTCCAGGGCCATGCGCGCTACAGTGGACATCAGCGATGGCGGGGGTGACTTCTCTGTCGCTTTCACTTGGCATTGAGCCAGCAGACCAGCAGTGGCGCGCGCGGATTTCACTGGCGCGGCGAATGCTTTAAACATGGGTGAAGAAAAGCAGTTGTCGGTCATTTTGAGGCGCGGCGGAGTCTTCGCCTTCGTCCAGAGCATGCCAGGTCAATGTCGCATTCAGGGCGTCCGACACGTTGAACCCACCGATCTGCCGAGGAGTGAGCGAGGCTAGACGGGGCGACCCAGGCGTTAATTGACGGCAGCCCCCGCGCGGATCAGCGTGCCAAGGTAGAATCTGCAAGACACCTTGAACCTCCCCGCGACGCCTGGGGTGGTGGTGGGGCAGAAGCTCCGAGGGGGGCTGGCGCAGCTGATGGCTACCCGCGTGCGACCGGACGGAGGAACGGCGGCAGCGTCGCTCTCTGGTCTTCAAGCGCTTCGAGGCCACGAGGAAGGACAACTGGCCTGACTGGCGGGGCGCCGACATGTGGCAGCGGCGTTCCAAGTGCCTTCGGCGGCGGCAAGACGGGGGCGACTAACTCAGCTGTTTCTCGGCGCGCCTGGTTTCCTCCGGGTTTTTCTCGAGCAGCCTTTGGCGCCGCGCGCGTGCCAGCTGCCAGAAAGGCGGTTTGAGCGGCGTGCCAGCCCGCGCCCGCGCCCGCGCGCACGGGCTGCGGAGCTCGGGCCGCGGCAAAGGCGCGAGCTGAAGCTCAGGGGGGCGCGCGCGAGGCCGACTACCAAAGGGCCAGAGGCGCCGCGTCGACCCGGGGAAGGTCATCGGGCCGCGCGAGAAGGTGGCGCGGCGCATCTACGCCATCACGCCCCCTTTATCGCCCCCGTGACTCATCCCTCAACCCCCCAGCCCCCCGGCCGGATTTCTTTTCTTCTTTCCGCGGGGGGTCAACCTTCGCGGCGACCCGTTAAACCCGGGACCCCTGGCGGCGCATGGATTTCTTTCCTTCTTCCCCGCGCGCGTTGCCGTTGGAACCCCTGAACCCCTCCGACTACCGTACAACTCGTACTTGAGTTTCCAATATATTGAGTTTCCAATATATTGCGTTTCCAATATACTGGGTTCCCAATATATAAGCCCGAACCCGAACCCAAACCTCACCGGCTGTAATTCAGTTGTTCCCGTACTAATACAAATCCCTAGTGCAACCGCGATTAAGGTGTTGTTGCATTGCACTTACAGTCTCGGCTCTCACGCTTTTCTTCCTCTGGTTGCGCTTGGGGGGGTGGGACCCCTCGCGCGGGCACCCCCGCGGCTGGGAGTTCATTCCTCTTCCGGAATTTGAGGGGGGGGGTAACCCCCGTGCTCGAACCCCATCGCCAGGGTTTTTTTCTTTCCTCCGCGGAAACCGGACCCCCTGGGTTCTTCGGCGCGCCGCTTTTTTTTTTTTCTTTCCGGTTGGGCCTCCATGGGTCTTAGTTTGGAGTCACCCGGGTGATCCCCCTTTCAAGCGCCAGCTGCAGATCCCGCGGGGCCCGCTGCAGCTCGACGCAACTACCGCGAGAGCCAGTCCGAGCGGCCCCTGCGCGCGCGACGCGAAGATGGCGGCGCTGTAGGAACGGGTCAAAGCAGAAGGGAAGATCGCCCGAGAGCGCGCTGATAGAGCAAATATGTCCCTGGGCCTCAGCGGGCTTTCGTCGCCGCAGATGGCGCCCCTCGTCTTGGCGCTTTGCCCGGGCGAGCTTGAAATCGCCAGAGAGCGGGCAGCGGGGGCGCCCAGCTCGTCGTCGCGTGGGGGTCGGGACTTCGCACGGACACGGATTCGCAATGAACGATTTGGTCTCGGTTTTGTCGTCGCCAGCAAGTTGATTAATTTAATTCGCCCCCCACCTCATGTTAGACGTGTGGAAGGAGGCCAGAGGCGAACGCGCGGGGGCAGCCCGGCGGCGCGCGCGGCCAGGCAGCGGGTTTGGTATCGCTCGGGCGCTTCGGTGCCTGAGCAGTGTAGAGACAGCTGCCTGGCGCTGCGCGTGTCCTCGCGGGTCTGGCGCCGCTGTTGAGCCGCGCGTTCGCGGGCCGCCCGCGATGCGCGGAGGCGCCAACAGCGCTGACCCCAGCTTCTCCCTCGGTGGCAAGGGTGCTGTTCTACTGTGCGAAGGCGCAGTAGTGGCGCTTCCAGGTAATTGGTGGACGTGGCCTGCATCTAATGGACCTGACGCACATCGACGACTTCGGTTCCCTGAGGGAGTGGCGTGCCGCCGCTCGGCGCGCGCGCTGGGGGCCGCGGCTCCTGGCGCATTCCCGCCCGAGGCAGGATCTGCGGTCTCGTGGGATTTTCTCTTCTTCGCGGATCACTATTCTGGTTACATTTAATCAGAGTGAGGGGGACGAGCGGTCATTCATTGTCCCTCGGTGCGTGGCTGAAGTGGGGATCCGTGGTGGGGATTTTGCTTGCTGCGTTGTTGCATTGTTGCTTCGTTGCGTTGTTGCGTTGTTGTTGGGGTTGGGGTTGGGGTTGTCGTTGTTGTTGAACTCCAATTCTGAAGAATAATTATTGTTGATCCCCCCTCACCGGTGCATATTTGTTTTTCAATCAAAGTGTGCCCCTCGACGCTCGCACCCTGTTTTTTGACAGGGGAAGTCTTCCTGCTCAAACTGGGCCCTCGGCCCCCCGTATTACAACAACAACGGCTTCCGCCTGAGAGTTCCTCCAAATTCACTCAGGACCACCGCTCCTGAGATTTCCTCACAATTTACTCATGATCGGTGCTCCCGCCTGTGACTTCCTCGCAATTTAGTCAGGGCCCCCGCTCCCATCTGAGACGTCCCCACAATTTACTCAGGAACGGCGCTCCCGCTTGAGACTTCCTCGCACTTGAGTCAAGGTCCCCTCGCAATTTAATCAAAGCCCTCGCTCCCGTCAGAGAACCCCTTACGTTTTATGCAGGAATTGTGCTCTCGCTTGTGATTTCCATGCAATGTATTCAGAAATCGCGCTTTCGACCCTCAGGAAACACGCTGCGCCAAGGACGCCGTTACAACTTACTTTGTAATCGCGCTCTCGCCATACCCAAGCATCCCGCTTGAATGTCCCACCCGCCCGACCCGCCCGTCAGGGGATCGCCCGCCCGTCGTGGGTTCCCGCCCGAGGCTTCCTTCAGGAACGGCGCTTTCGCCTAGGACTTCCTCGCAAGTTCACGCTCTCACCTGCCTGCTCCTCTTCCCTCTCCCTCCTCCCTCCTCTCCTCCCTTTTCTCTCCTTCCTCTCCTTCCTCATCCTTATGCCTCTCTGCCCTATCCCCTCTCCCTCCTCTCCCTCCTCCAGTCTCCCTCCCCTTTCCTGCCTCCTCCCCCCCTCTTTATTAATCTCTCTCCCCCTCTCTCTCTCTCTCTTTCTACCTCACTTATATGTTTTGTGTTCCTTTCTCTCTCTCTCTCTCTTTCTCTCTCTCTCTCTCTCCCTCTCTCTCTCTCTCTCTCTCTCTCTCTCTCTCTCTCTTTGTCTATATATATATACATATCTTTGTTCTCTCTCTCTCTGCCTTTAATCAACCGGCCTCCTCTTCGCTCCTTTTCTCCTGGCGTTTTACCTCTTCCTTCGTCCCTCCCACTCCCTTCCTCCCACTCTCCCTCGTTTTCCCCCCTTTTTTGCAGGGCCCACACCAATTCCAATGGCGGGCGCATGTGCGCCCACGAAGGACCGTCCGCCCGTTCAGGTTTGCCCGCCTGTCTAAACCCGCCGCACCCCGCAAAGAGAAATAATCCCCCCAAAGGGTGCGTGATCGAAGACAAAAAGGCTGGGTATCGAGGGTGTGGGGAACTCGTTTTGAATGACACACGGGCAAGTAAGAGCGAACAATATTACGATGATTGTTGTTGTTGGTGGTGGTGTTGGTGTTGGTATTGGTGTTGTTGTTGTTGTTGGTGGTGGTGGTGGTGT